ACGTAATAAGATAAGGATCTGTTGAAGTTAACGGTATCATTGGGCAAAACACGAGAGATATCTACTTGCCACGATGACAATATTATTGTGATTTATCTCGCCCCATCGCCAAGAACCTTGTTCGAGAGCGTCCAATAATCTAGTTCTCGGACTGTGAACTCGCACCACTTCTGAAACAAAAGCATATAAAAACACATATGCGGAAATATTCCAAGCGTTGATCTGCCCCGAATTTGGTTTCGAAATCGGTTCTGGCTGTTGGAACCAATGTGTTCAGGAACATTTTTGAGAACGCGTTCTTAGCCTCTATGCACGAACTTCAGACAGGTCGCACAAAGACGGTCATGTAGCCAGCAAAGAGAACGTTTGCACTGATCGGTTTATTTACATACACAGCTCCTGTTATTCCGATTTCAAATGCCCTTATTCTAATTGTTAGTTTTTAAAATTCATATTTTCGTTAGTATTTATGAAGAATAAATCAAATCTGGAAGAAGCAGAATCGAGATCTATATCACGTTTTGTCTGTATGGATTAATTGTATGCATCCGAGTTGACCTTTTTCACTTCACAATATTTGTATCATTGAGCGATCTATTTTCAGATCACAATTTGATGGTGTAAAATGGCATGACCTTAGTGGTCTAAGTGTCAGTTAAAGTTAATATAAACCTACATTATTACGTTCTCTCATGACGTGACGAAACTTTTCATTGTTGTCTGAAATTTGAATCACTATTTGCATCGATCTAATTTTTTTGTTCAGGACTGTAAGAACAATACTTCTTCATATGCAATGGTGTTTTATAATATAATTCCAACTACCGGATCAAAATTTCATTTCAGTTACCTAGCAAGGTCTCGTGCCTAACGCAAAATTCTTACTCTATAGTGGAATTTATCTATTAAAAAACGAAGTATTTAAGAATTTTATTTACCTATGACAAGATTTGGGATGGCCCATTCTTATAAAGGGATAGACAATCCTTTACTTTTTGTCAAATGTATGAGTTTTCTGATTAATGAGAAAATAACTGCCTTTAGTTTGCGTACTTGATAATATATCAGAAAACATTAAAAGCTTGAAAAAAGATCATCTATCGAAATGCGATTGATAAATGTTATTTTCTTCCAACAAAAGAGTACGTTCTGATGATATTTTTCTTTTCGTTTTGTTTTTGTTTTATTTCAAATTACGTGCATATATAGACTGGTTGCCGTTCTATTCATACACAATAGCCTACTTTGGTAAAACAAATATGATTAATTATTTTGATAAATGTTAAATTGCCAACAATCCTATAAAAACAAAAACGACACAACACTTAGATTAATACTTGTCAATGTGCTAAACGGTCATTCTTAGTCCACTGAAGAGATGACATTCACATATATTTCGATCGTTCCGCTGACCAAGTGGTTAGACCATCCACCTTGAATGCAGGAGGTCGCGGGTTCGAACACCGGCCGAGTCATACAAAAGATTCATAAAAATGTTACATGCAGCTTCCCCGCTAGCCACTCAGCATTAAGAGGTTAGTATTAGGACTGGTCGGCCTGGTATTAAGATAATGTGACTGGGTGGGATATCATGCTACATGTCTGCGGCATTATGCCCCAGTCATGACATCACTATAAACTGCCACACCGCATACATCGTAGCGATATTACTGAAACAAATGTTTAAGCTTCATTAAAAATAAAATAAAAAAACATACACACGCAACACACATACCTATGTTTTGTCACAAAAATGCAGGTTTTACAGAAATCGGAATGAAACAGAATTAGACTGGTTGGTGTAAAGATCCGAATCGAAGCGAACAATCTTTTGTCTAGTGAGTCGGATGCAGCCACCGCTTACGAGTCAATCTCACGCGCTAAAATATGTTAGTATTCATCACTCAAACTGCGTAGAAAGCTTGCATTTCAAGCTAAATTCTTGCTCGACTGACTGGTTAGAAGCTGATTTTTCAAACCTACTTATAATGAGCTGTTCGAACTTCCGTTATAATGAACAGGCACTTTTGATGAAAGCCTATTTTATGATTCAATAACAGTAAGCGAAAGTCTTCTTTGGCTATATGCAGATCGATTTAGGTAGGAGTGGTTTTCAAAAAACTACAAAATGTGATTTAACATTAAATTTGATTCAAACAACGATATATTTTACAATATTAATTATGTTTTGATGGCGTCTTAACACCAAACTCTTCATTAATTTGTTATTCTTCATTTGACAACCTCTATATTTTATTTGAATTAGGAAGAAATTTAATTAATCGTTTATGAATTTCAATTCCAATTAATTTTCCTTAAAATAAATTCTCTGTGATCCAAACAAAAAAGGCTTATTAGAGTGTGTATTCAGTGGAGGTCACCATTTTGAGTTCATTGTGGACAGTTAGACTTATAAAAGCCTTCAATTAGCCATACAGGTATACCGAAACATATTCTACCAGCGGCGTATTGACCAGCTGATTCTTACACGATCATTGGGTATATGTTCTCCCCATTTAGCGGAATTTCCTTCCTAATGGCTACTACAGAACCGAGTTGAATTATAAATAGGAAAATGTTCGCTTCCAATGTGTTAAGTTTGGATTTGTATACGGACACAATTAGAGTCAGGTAAGACAAAGATCATGTAACTTGATTTTTATAAATCAAATTTTTCATTAATTTGCTTAATTTGCATGTTAAATAAATGTATTGGTTTCTTCCGTACCATTTAACATTTGACCTAACATATATATTGCTTAATTTCAATATTTTTTGTTCCGAATACCTGTTAATGGTAAATGTGTTAATGGATATATACCTGTGTGCCAAATGGTGAAAACGGAGTTTTGTTGCGTCTTCATATTGCACATAAAAAGTGATATTTTATTGTGAAATTTATATTTTTACATTTGTTCATATCTGATATTACAGTTTTTTCTTCTTTAACCGCTTCCTAAAAGAAATTGAGCAGTCTCTTTATTATATAGCAGTTGAGATTTCTTATATTAAAGGACTTTTAGAAGTTAGACTTTAAAATCATACATTAAATATTCATTTGGTTTTATTCCCAAATATCGATATATTAAGGTCGAAACGCTAACTCTGCAGCTTGAAAAACCTACTTGTCCTGGAGAAAACTCGACAAAGCACCCGATCCCTACATTGTTAAAGCCTTTAAGGCTAAATTTGTTAATACTGTTAAGGCTCTCAGGCGTTAACAACCTATACTTTTATACGGTATAGTATACGTTGTATGCCCTTAAGGCCTAACATTGTTAACTGTCACTGGCACTGCTCTTGCGCTTGTGCATCATTTTCTATCAAAAATACGGTCAGTGAACAGAACGATTTTGCTATAGGCACATACGATCAAACGAATACTTTGCAAACGAAATTAAAACATTCAATAAGTTGAGATTTGTAAATAGGGTTCGAAATACATAATCAAAATAGGCTAGCTAATAACGAAGTAGGATTAAAAGTAACAATTTGTACATCGGTGTGTGTAATACATCCTTGACGAAGTATGCTTTATCGGAGTGATCGCTTTTGACGCACTTAAGAACTTGTAATGCGTTAATATTGATAAGTCTCGTTTCCTTTGAAACCATTTATTTATTTGTTTCTGCAAAGTATTGATAACAAATGACAATGAAATATTTAATAGTACTCTTCATCACATGATTTCATCCAGGCGACCCTTTGCAAGTTCTTGTTATATTTGTTAACACAGTTAAGGCTCTTATGTGTTTGTACATATTTGTGGTCATATTTAATGTGTGTACCAGTTTATAATAAAGTTCATATACATGCATTTTGGGCTTATGTACTGCAGATAAGTTTGAGCCAGCATTTTAGAAATAACTATGAGTTTACAGTATACTTATTTATTTTATTTTTTCTACTTTAAAAAGAGAAGGTATTGTCCTTAACAAAGCAGTGTGACAGTAAATTTTATGTTAAATGGAAATTTTAAAATTAAGTAAACTTTATTAGTAGATGTACATATAATCTTGCTTACCATAAAGATATATTAAAACACTTGTTATTAAAAATGATGTCGAAGTTGTTACTTCAATATATTAATACTGATTATATATATATATATATATATATATATATATATATATATATATATATATATATATAAATCCATCTATTAAAAATATTTTTTTTGTTTATTTCACACCACCACCACCATTTGCCATATCACTAGACTTTGGAAACAAAGGTGTAATCTTAAATTTCATTACAGTTTATTTTCTTCCCATTTTGGCTCAATGGTTTAGGTTCAGCCTGGGTATCACTTTCTGATGGCACTGTAAGCATCAACAGTGTTAACAGTTTTGAAGCAGTATAACATTCACATCTGCCTCAGTATTCAAATTATGTTTGCGATAAATTACTGTATACCTAAAGATTGCAACATTATTATGTTTCTGGAGGCGAAATTTTTGATCTAATTTTCATCAAACTTGTAATTTGGGTTTAGATCACTCAGCTATCATATGAGTATTATCATGAACTAAACCATGCCTTATAATGAGGTGCGCATCCAACTCTGGAGTGAACATTTCTGATCCAATTTTGATGAAACTTTCATTATAGGCATATATATATATATATATATATATATATATATATATATATATATATATATATATATATATATATATATATATATATATATATATATATATATATATATATATATATATATATATATATATATATAAATGAAGATTATGGTAATAATATCCTGATAAGTTTTCTTTCATAAGATAAAAGCATAATTGATAAAAATTCTATTTAAGCTTATGCATTTGGCACCTTTCTTCTACATTGTTGAATTTGTGGTCAAGAAGATTAATGGATGCCACCATTTTGATGGGTACTCCAATAACTTTTTAAAACAAGTAGGTCGTCATGACTTGCTTTTCAAACTCCCGTGATATCTACCCGATTCATTGCAAACAGTACTATATCATCTATAACGCGGCCGGACCACTACAGTGGTCCAGTGGTTAGAGCGTCCGTCTCGGATGCCGGAGATTGCGGGTTCTAATCCCGGCCCAGTTATAAAAAGACATAAAAAATGGACGATCAGCATTAAGATGGTAGTGTTAGAACTAGTCATCTTTGTGTCAGAATAATGTGACTGGGTGTGACATGGTGCCCTCATTAATAGCGATCATTATTAACTGCATACATCGTAGGGTTATGACTCAATTGTTAAAACTATGTTACAAATAACACACACACAACACATAAAACGTGTTGCCAGATATTTTTGATTGCGATATCCAGTGACCTCTAACACTACCATAAATATCGGCCAATCTGACAAGCATTCAACATAAACAAATGGCGGGCTTAACCCAGGATCAATCGGAATAGAGCGTGGCTTTTCTTCCGAAATTGTGTTTACCGATAATTGGCGGAAAGACGCGCGAACGCAGTCCGATGTCTCCGGACGTTATTAGAGCAATTTAAACGGGGGGAGGCGAGGCGATTGTTTGTTTTTTTGGGGGGCTTTTTTCTTCAGGCGATAAGAGATATCAGCCAAATCAAAATAATTCCACATTAAATAAGTAAATAAAACTAACCAGTGGGCAGTAATTTGGGTATAAAGTTTAATTGGAGGATTTTGATTAAACTATTTGTATTAATTCGTTGCACAGATGATATTTTTGGCACTCAAACAACTCATCTTTTATCGTGTTTTCATTTCCAACAGTACTTAGCTATTTTTTATATTTTGATCTGGCTAATCGGTTCACACAAGCAATACGTGGCATTATTGTTAGTACAAAAAATGGCATGATTCTCATTACCCCTTAACCATATCTACTTTTATATATTCACAGCTGCAACAGATGTACATAAACACATACATCAAGTTAAATGAAATCAAACAGTTAGGATGTCAATCTCTGTGAAAGGCAATCACGAAGCAAGCTAATCCATTTTCATTATATTTAAAGGAAAAATAAGCCAAATTAAAATTTAGTTTATTTTTAATTTAAAAACTCAAACATACAACTGATTAGGATAATGTCCTCAATAGTAATAAAAAAATGGGTGCAATAATACGAAATTGCAGAAAAACGTTCGACGAAATAAGGCAGATGGGGAAAATTGTAATTGGATGTTTAGCTCTGGAGAATGCGAAAAATATTAATGTGATATTCAGCTCTGGAGCAGCCTTGTAGCGTATGCTCAATCCGATGTTGCCGGATGTTTGATATATAATGATGCACATGCGCAAGAGCAGTGCAAGTGACAGTTAACAATGTTAAGCCTTAAGGGCATACAACGTATACTGTACCATATAAAAGTATAGGTTGTTAACGCCTGAGAGCCTTAACAGTGTTAACAAATTTAGAAAGAACTTGCAAAGGGTCGCCTGGATGAAAGCATGTGATGAAGAGTACTATTAAATATATCATTGTCATTTGTTATCAATACTTTGCAGAAACAAATTAATAAATGTTTTCAAAGGAAATGAGACGTATCACTATTAACGCATTACATTTTTGAAATGTTTAAAGTTCTTAAGTGCGTCAAAAGCGATCACTCCAATAAAGCATACTTCGTCAAGGATGTATTACGCACACCGATGTACAAATTGTTACTTTTAATCCTACTTCATTATAAGCTAGCCCAATTTGATTATGTATTTAAAGCCCTATTTACAAATCTCAACTTACTGAAAGTTTTAATTATGTTTGCAAAGTATTCGTTTGATCATATGATCCCATAGCAAACTCGTTCTGTTTACTGACCGGATGTTTGATAGAAAATGATGCACATGCGCAAGAGCAGTGCCAGTGACAGTTAACAATGTTAGGCCTTAAGGGCATACAACGTATACTGTACCTTATAAAAGTATAGGTTGTTAACGCCTGAGAGCCTTAACAGTGTTAACAAATTTAGCCTTCAAAGGCTTTAACAATGTAGGGATTGGGTGGACAAAGAACAAACAAAAACAAAAGTCCAAAGGAAAGAAAACAATGTATTCTGATGGCCTTGACAGATGATGATCTAGTAATATTTTGTGACAGCAGGTTTGTATTTTATTCAAATTAACTACAAATTGATCCCAACGTGTTATCCTCTTTAAAAAATGTTTTTTAGTGATCCAGTCAAGATGACAAAATGAATTAAATTGACTTATAATTCCTAAAAGTTGATGAACACACCTTCCATTTAAGTAAAATAATAGTTGCTGTTTTGTATTTATTGATTTTTTTATTTTTTCAAAATAGTATGGTCTCTTGCCCATATTGCAAAAAAAAAACAATTTACGCATGATTGATAGTGCCCCTTGGTGGTAAGAAAATAAACTGGTATTTACTTGTCTCTATCAAACAGCTGTTGATTTCACTAACATCCACTTATAATATTTCTAAATCAGCACGATCTACAGTGATAAATTAGATATATATTGTCACAAAGTGGCTGATATCAGCACAGATGTGAGTTCGATTCAATTCAATCAAAAACAAAACATAACTTAAAAAGTATTGAAATATATCTAAGCAAATCTAATAAAGGAAAATTCAAAGTAAATGAAGATATTCGGCTAACAAATTATTTGCCAAAGATTATGACGTTTATTTTTATAATTCTTTATAAAACACAAACTCAGGTAAAACGGTTTTAAGGCTATCTTATTCGTTCCTTAAGTTATAAGAAATACGGCTTTAATAAATTAGACCCAGCGTGGATTAAAGCATATCCGTTCTGTCGAAAATAGTCGATGTGCTGTATTAATCATAAAATTGTATTCATGGCTTTGATTGACATACATGATATTCATTTATTTATGGTTAATTATTTAATCAATTATTTTTGTGTCGTATAAAGGAACTAAATAATCATCTTTTGCGATAAAGGTTATTAGACATTTATATTTATATAAAAATATAAATATACAAAGCAAATGAACATAAACACAAGCAACAACAATAACAAACAAACAAACATACGAATAATAATATGACTTTTAAAGTAAGTGAATCATAGATTGATTGATGTTCATTAAGATTCCGTTTTCCTGTTTTGGTTTACCTGTTGTGATTACCATTTGTATCGATCGTATTCTGCCCTGAAAATACGTTAACCTGCGCACGCATATTTTTCAAACCGGTAATCTAGGATCTATTCATAAAATGAGGATTTTAGTCTGTGTTTCACACCTTATATACGTTGCAGCAGTACAGAGTATAATGACTGACCATCATGCCCTTAAGTTAGTTTCACCTACATATATAATTCAATATTTGTTTTTCTAGTTGGTCTCACTTTCAGATCAAGGACTATCCTTCCTGTGTTGATTAACTAATGCTCCATTTAGTATCGTCTCTTTCTTAATGTAAGCCTCTGCCAAAATAAACTTGACTCAATTCAGGAAAACATGTCTTCTGTAAGAGACATTTACATTTCGAAATTTAAATTAATCTTTGTTTTTGGCAGCTTTTATGCAAATTAAACACAAAAGAAAGCTAATAACCAAAGGCGGTAAAAGAAGAGAAAGAACGAATAATGTAAAATCTGTCTGATGTTTGTTTCAAATCATTTCATGGATGAATCTAGAGTCGTCCTGAATAAGTTATACTTTTTTTTCAAGAGAAAATGAAATTCATGCTACGGATGAAACAGAGACATTCGAAAGTCTAAATCAAACTCTAACAGCGATCGCTATATATATTTCACTGACAGAAAGGTATAACTATAGTCTGTGCGGAAAGCTAATTGCTCGTACCAAATATGGACCAGATTTAATGCTTTTCCTTCAGAAACGCTTCGAATTTCAAAATTTAATTAATTTTGTAATGAACGTTATATCCGATAGTTCCCTGAAAGTTTTCGTTTGTTATGGGAATTCAGTTTTATTTAGATGCGACAGTCTTATTTATTTATTGTTCTTCCGGTCTAATTATACGAATTATGTTCAGGTAGTTCGACCACCTTCCTGGTCTAGTCCCTGAAGTAAACTGCGCATGTCTGAGTATGATCAAACCAACCAGTGTATGTTAATCTTCAGTAGCTTCAAGACAGTGGTGTCGAATTAGTTTTAGTTTTTATTCATTTTTGTTGATTGAGAAAGCAATAGCATGCCTTAAATAAATCTGAATGCATGATAACTTATTATTTTATCAATTTATGTATTTAAGACAGGAAAATTTGATTTTTTAAAGCTAAATAGATTGTTAGATTATCCAGCAGCGTTCAGAACAAATATATATTTTGGTTCCAAATACCATATCTGCTTTATATTATTGCACTTGATATTTAATATTGAAAGAATTCCAAAATCTAATTTTACTCCCGTCAATTATATTGAGAACCTGAGAAAGTAAGAGTGTCCCGATGCTCTGTCCACGTTTTCTTGACGATGTCACTCCTTCTAGAGTGAGATCGATCACAGTCCTGTCCGACCGTAGGTTTTTCTAGTTTGGTGACCGTACTCGCATGTAGAATCAAGGGTTTTCTAAGAATAATTGGAACTACTTTTACATTGACTTCTTTAGATAACTGCAAAGATCTTGTTTGTTTTCAAAAGTTTTCGTGGATAGAAGGTTTATTTTGAGAGCCATTAATAGTTATTTTCTCTCGGTTAATGACTTCTTTATGTGATCACAGAGACATATATACTTTGCAGTGCTTATTCCGATAGTGAAAATTCATATCCTTGAGAAATGGCCCTGCTGATGAAATGGAGATACCATTGTCGCATGAGAAAGATTTAATACTGTACTTTTCTACTTTTACATAAGTAATACATGCATGTAACTGAGAATCGATGAAAACCGTTTTTATCTGCACGAGTCAGTTAATACTTTATAATCATTCAAATAGATCGCTCTTACATTTAAGGATATTTTTTTCCCTTCCTTATAAACAGGTAAAATATGGAAGCAGTTTAACTGATGTTTACATAGATAGATAGATAGATAGATAGATAGATAGATAGATAGATAGATAGATAGATAGATAGATAGATAGATAGATAGATAGATAGATAGAGAGATAGAGAGATAGATAGATAGATAGATAGATAGATAGATAGATAG